TTCATCCATATGTCAATTTATAAGTTCCCCATCATAATAACCAGCTTGCTACAATCACTTTTGATAAAGCCCACCGACACATAAAAAATATAAATAAATAGAAGAACCAATAAAAATAAAAATAAAAAATCTTCTAACACAATAAGTCTGCCGACACTAAAAAAATAAAACTATGACCACTCCAAAAATAAAAGCTTTATTTACCAAAAATATTCTAACACAGTAATGGACGACAGCTGTATGACGAGTCTAAACCGTGTGGGTTCCCCACGTTATTACAAACGCGCTTGTCCTTTTGCAATAATATTCTCACTCGAAGACTCCCCAAAAAAAAAAAAAAAAAAAAAAAAAAAAAAAAAAAAAAAAAAAAAAAAAAAAAAAAAAAAAAAAAAAAAAAAAAAAAAAAAAAAAAAAAAAAAAAAAAAAAAAAAAAAAAAAAAAAAAAAAAAAAAAAAAAAAAAAAAAAAAAAAAAAAAAAAAAAAAAAAAAAAAAAAAAAAAAAAAAAAAAAAAAAAAAAAAAAAAAAAAAAAAAAAAAAAAAAAAAAAAAAAAAAAAAAAAAAAAAAAAAAAAAAAAAAAAAAAAAAAAAAAAAAAAAAAAAAAAAAAAAAAAAAAAAAAAAAAAAAAAAAAAAAAAAAAAAAAAAAAAAAAAAAAAAAAAAAAAAAAAAAAAAAAAAAAAAAAAAAAAAAAAAAAAAAAAAAAAAAAAAAAAAAAAAATGTTTTTTTCAAATCTAGGAAGTGGTTGCTAAAGAGCGAAGAATACTATTGGGAGACAGCTTCGAATGTAGGAGGTGGTTGCTCCAGCAAAAGCGGTTCACTCGACATTTCGTTCCAAGTTGTTGACTACTCTGTTCTATAATTGTTTCGGCTCTCTATTGCTTTACACAAAGAGAGTTGGATGATTTTTTCCCAAGTGCATGCATAGATTTCGTATTTTTCTTCCTCAATTGCTTTTTAACTCTTTGCCCTCTACCATCTTACAATCATAGGTGCAGAAACATCATGCCTTAATTTGCCTTTTCAGTTGACCAAAAAAAATAATAATAATTTGCCTTTTCACTCTTCTTTCCTTTTCTTGGTTCGTAAATTGAACATTCATTTCAATGAAAGTTGGTCAACTCATCTAATCTCTGCTTAAAAACGGTAGTCACTGCTCGATTGCATTGTTTTGGGGAACGTTTATTCCATTGCATGTGAGAATAATTCTATTGTGGTTACTGTTTCCATTCTTAGCGGTTTGTAGTGGCGCTTTTTGTTTTGATTTATCTTATTTTATATATAATTGAATGATAGGATCTTTGCAATTATCACTATGGTTAATGTTTGCGATACAAGAAAATGGCCTGTTGTGTCTAATGCAAAATGACTAATTGGCTTCACTCAAGAAAGATTTATAAGCCTTTATTTTTCATGTTTTTATTCAACTAGGAGAGAACTTATGTGTGTTATGGGTTACAGAATGATGCAAGCCTTGATGGTGTGAGAGACTTTTGGAAAGTGAGGAAGTCCAGCACTTCAAATACAATTCCAAGTTGCTGGGAAGTAGTGTGTTGCCAACTTTGAGAAATGTTGGACTACCATGCCAGTTATTTAGCCCCCATTTATTTAGGAAGAGAGTCCTATAAATACACTAGATCTGTTTTCCCTAACTTTAGTTTCTTTTTTTTCTTTTTTATTTTTATTCCAGCTATATTTTCTGCTCTTTCTTCTAGATAGATTTGATTCTAATTCTATGTACATGTCTGAAATCAGTGATCAAGGGATTTCCGCATTTTTAATTTCTAACTGTCTCAATCATTCATTCCATCTTTTCTTTCACTTGCTCTTTTTGCTGCAATTTTCCCAGCTTTTTTTTTTTTTTTTTTTTTTTTTTTTGGTTGGATTTCAAGCATGCATCATATTCTTATCCACACCGTGTGTAAGAGGCCTTTTAATAATCAAGCACGCTACGCGCCACTTACAAAGATTTTTTCTTTTTTTTCTTTGCAACTGTACTTTCTAGATACGTATTTTAACAGGTTGCACCAGGGGGAAGAAATGCAACAACTTGTAATAAAGGAAGAATGGAGAATTAATTGGGTTCCTGTGGCCCAAATGGACACCACTGGGTTGTACTCTCCTTCGTAATAGAGGAATATAATTCTCGATATATTCCGTCAATCAGATTAAGGATCGTCAATCAATAAGGATGTCAATCCAGGTCTCCTTGCATAATCAGTCCTTCACTTTTGCACTTTTTTTTTCTTCTTTTTTTATTATAGAAAATATTATTATTCTCTTGTTCAAAATATCCTTCCATCCAAACCCTGTAAATGTGAAATTCTTGACGGAGATAGTTTCCGCGTCAAACTCAATACCATCATATACATAGTAACGGTTGATTGTTGATTTACCTACTGAATTTGACCTAATTTATTTTACTCCTTATATTTAAAAAAAATTTAAGGACACGAACAGATTTTTTTCTCAATTTTGTGTTTTTAAAATCATTAAAAATAAACATTTTGAAAATTTTGAAGAAAGCGGAAAACAAATCTCTGCTCCCACCCCCACCCACAGAAGCAGCTCGTAAAACCACCTGCAACGAGAGGGAGAGAGAGGAGAGAGAGAGAGAGGAGAAGGGTGAGCGAGGAGAGAGAGAGAGAAGAGAGAATAGAGCCATATTATTTCCATTTTAAAATTTTTTTTTGTATTTTCCATTCACCACTCAATTTTATTATTTTTTAACATTTTGAATTGACCATTTTGCTCTTCATATTTACGGCAAATTGAAAATTGAAATGTTCATTTTGGACGCAAGAGGGGAAATTGGAGGAAAAAGGAAAGTGATATCTCCCAAATTTTCGAAAAAAAAATGTATAAGGGTAAATCGAAAACTAGATACAAGTTTAGGGAGCAAAATCAAGAATAAGCCATAGAGCAAACAAAGAGAGGTCTAAATAGTGGGGACACATGATAGAACGCCGTTGGACTAAAATGTGGCAAGGCAGTAAAGGCAGTGCGGGGAAGGGGTCCCCAGCCTCTCCCGGGGACCTGATGGTAATAAAGGAACAAGTGAGAATAATGGAGCAAAGACTGTACTGGAAAGAAAGGAAGAGGGCGCGTGCGTGCCTCCCTACATCTTAAATGGTTGACCTGTGACAGGCTCAACAGTAGAAAGCACTCAGGTGAACGAGGGGACTTACGGGCGCTTAGTGAGGGGTGGTTGCGGTTCGGTTATTGCGAATTTTACTCAAACCGCAAACCGACGTCTTGACTCTGCGGTTTGGTGATTTTTGAAACCGCAAACCGACCGCGTTATTTGCTGTAAACCGCAAAATTGGCGTGTGGGTCGGTTACCGCGATTAGCTTTTTAAAAACCTGCAGTTCTCAAGCATTCACAAAAATATAAAATTCCAAACCTAAATAAATAAATACACATCTTAATTTTCCAAACATAATAAATTCACAATCTCCTCCAACTCTCAAGCTTTCACAACCTAAGAAAATAAAGTTAATTCCAAGCGTTCCAATTAAGGTAACTCTCGCAAGCGTCAATTCCAAATCCTAAAGTGTACAAATCAAAAGGAAAATGCAAAGCAAAATGAATTTAAAGTTACAACCAAAGAAATCAAGCAATTAAAGTTATTAAAGTTACAAATAAAGAATGCAATGCACCAATGTTACAAACTAAAGTTACAAACTCAGAGTATTGGGTGGTGAGTGGATTTGAAAAACATCGTTGAGCACCAATGTATCTACCAATTAAAACAACATAGTTTAGTACTTTATAAGCATAAATAAACTAATTACTTACAAGTTTCATATGTTTCATTTCCTTGTAGAATTAAACATCATCATCCGTGCGGCTATACTTTGCGGTTTGCGGTAACCGCAAGTTTTGAAAATCAAATTACCGCAACCGCAACTGCAAATGCGGTTCGGTTCTTAATACCGCAAATGCGGTCGGTTTACCGCGATTGCAGTTTCATTGCGGTAAATTATCGGGTTGGTTTTGCAGTTTTTCGGTTTTTGTTGGTTTAAAATGCCACCCCTACTATTAGTCATCAACCAAAATATTATAGGATTCAAATATGAATAGATGATCTTTCATTCCAAAAACTACTAATTATAGCCAAAAATACAGACATGTATATTAGAAAAACAAAAAACAAAAACTTGTATTATTTAATTTAAAATGGTCGATGAAAATTATGAAATGATGGTAGAATTCAATTTTAAACATATATCTGGCAATTTAATTTTCAAATATTCAATATTTGCCTAGAATTTGGTGACCAAAATAATTGAATTTAAAAATTGTTTTATGGCTAATGAGGTTTAATCTAGTTAATAATGACCTTGACTTGCAAGCTAGTGGTCTTAGATTCGAAACCTTATGACACCATTGTAGTGTGTGTGTATTAAAAATCGTTAGACTAACGCTTGTATTAAAAAAATTATATTTTTATGATTTTGTGGTGGTAGCACACTTTTTCATTTACGCACTTGAATTTTTCATCATGGACAATACCCTCTCCAGGCCCTCCAATCACATGGAGATGGAGTGCAATTATCAAAACGTGAGGCCCAATTCTAAACTCTCTTTTTTGGGTCAACTTATTTACTACTACTAATTAAAGGGTTAAAATAAGCAAAGAATTGCATGTTGAAGATTTTGTAATAGTTGCGCGCCGTAGATCTGGTAAAATCATCACCGACCATCAAGTGACTTGCTTCACCATCAAGCCATCCACTTATTAACATTCAATTCCTAGTTCGACTCTCATGAGCCATTACCCGCCCAAATCAAAATCAATCCCTGGGCTGGCATCTTTTCTCTACAATCACATGCACGAATTTAATTGTACAGCATAGCTTAGAAAAGCACCGTGACCGATTAAATGTTTGACGGTATAATAGTAAGTCCGATCAACGGTGTAGGACGTCTGATGAGGTTAGGCTTGATTGAGATTGCCTATGCGTGACGCTATCAACACCCTTTAGTATAACACAAGTGTTACCCACTAAGTGGCTGAAGATTACTTGGTTTGGAAAGATGTTGCTGCTTCTTCTTGTATGTCTCAACCTCTTGCATCTCACGACTCATCCAACACAAAGAGCCGTTAAACTCATGTTTACACCATAATCAAACCGAGCATATCCAGCCTCAAAACAACTAGTACCAAGGCAGACACGCCCTCTCCCCTGCTGAAGGAAGACACTCTTCCGAGGTGCCAAACACTTGCCGAAACTCCCGACTGCTGAAGTCCTAATTGCTAAACCTAATCTCCATGACATGTGTCATCACCATAGCGACTTGCACAAAGTCCCACCATCGAAAATCTACACAAACCTCCCACTTTCACTTCCCTATAAAGAGGGAACAATACCCTAGTAAAAAGGATAACTACTTTCTTACCTTTATTGTTACTCTGCTAAAGTTACTACTCTTAGCTGACTTAAGCGTCGGAGAGCCTTCGGCCGGGCACCACACCAGTGTCCGAAGCTTAACGACTACTTCTCCTATTTTGTCTTCTGCAGGCTAGCCCCTTATTGAAGGCCCAGGCCCTTCTCCTGCTGAAGGCAAACCCATATCTTTTCTCTAAGTTAACCCTCTTCGAAAAAGAGCATCAACAGTTTGGCGCCGTCTGTGGGAAGCGATACTTGAATCCCATTTTTTCTCTACCAGCCCAGCTGGCTCCTTCTCCTATCTGCACGTCGCCTCTTCTTTACTCCACACTCAGCTATGCCTACCGAGGATAGCCACGGGACTAGCACCATACCCTCCACGGGGGTACCTCCAGAGGAGGAAACCTTCAGCAGATGCCAATCTCCAGGCAGAGCTGGAAAGCCTTCGCGCCCAGTGTCACCAAGATGTCCGAGAAATATGACCATCTTCATGCCAAGAACGTTGAGCTCGAGCATGACTACCGCACGCTGAAACGTAACTGGGAGATGAATCAGGCCAAGGGCTCTCAACGTGGCCTTACCTAGGAACCTGAGGGTACCCAGCCAAACCAGTCAATGCCCTCTCACCACACAGTGCACCAATCCAGCCTAGGCCCAGCAAGGGTAAAGGCCCCTCCATCCGGAGACAACCAAGTTGCGGCTCCTTCACATCTCTCGGTCGAGGGACTGGCCCCATGAACCAGTGAAGGTCTATAGGGATTGTAGGGACCGTATCTTGGACCGTCAGCCAGACCCTATTCCTATCCCGTTAATCTCCAATACCCAAAGGTGACACACCTAGGCCCTCCACTAAAACCCACCCATCTATCAGCTGGAGAAGGGGCAGGTGACTAGGAGAACTAGGGGTAGTACTATTCAGAAGACTACGAGTCTTATCACACTGAGGCGTTCGAATAGTAGGAACCTTCCCCAGCCCCTGCTCATCTACACCTCAGGCCTTTAGCACTCGAACCCCTCTCTCATGCCGACCCGGCCATGAGGCTTCTCTTCGAGAGGGTTCGACGCCTGGAAAGCGAATAACAGTGCAACCACCAACCCCTCTGGGCAAAGTCACGACCTGGGCCCTTATCGAACGCATCCTTAATTACCACCAGGAGAAAGACATCCAGCCACTCCGTATCGCCTTCTACACTGGCACGGAGGATCCTCTCACCCACATACATTCTTTCCAGTCTGCCCTGGGTGCAAGGTCCTCACTGACGAAGGCATAAGGCTAAAAAAACTTGGTTAATAGCACTAATAAAGAATCATACTCACCTCAACTTGAGTTATAATAGAATGTTTGTAGAATATTTCAACATTCACACTTAGTCTAAATGATTTCAAGGAAGTACTTTTTATCATTTAGGAAAGAAAAAAAAGAAGAATAGTTTCATGAATCACAATGTTCTAATGTTCTTCCTCCACCATGGCTTCTTCAACCTCTGTGCGAAAATTGGGGTTAAGGGTCGAGTCGATGTCGGATGCCTTGCTGAAATTGAAGATGTGGTTGCTAAAATGAGAGAACCATTTTTATCTGGGCTTGTTGTTTTTGGTACGGCGCGGTGGTGGTGGCTTCTAGCACCGGGGATGAAAGAACCCTGACAAAGAAGCCAACAGGTCGGGAAGGGGGGAGAGAGGAGAGAGAGTTTTTGTTTTAAAAAGTTTTATTTAATTTTTGAAATGCTTTTAAAAAGTTTTTTTTTTCTAGGTCCTTAGAAGTCATTTTACAATGGGATAAATTTGTTTTTAAATTTTGAAGATAATGTGGGTGGGGAAATAGCAGCACTCTTAGGGCATGTTTACATATCAATAAAAGGTATGGGAGGAAGGGAATGATTTACATTATTGACTTCCCCTACATTTACTTGCAATCAGGAATGAAAAAATATGTGGGCTCCATCTCAAAAATTCATAACCACGTCCTCTCAAAATCAGAAATCAGATCAACTAGGGGTAGTTGATTTGATTACCGTACCTTTTTCCCTTATTACCTTCCAAAAATATCCTTACATACAAACAATATTTACATGAAAATCTCTATAAAAAAAATAGAAGCCCTAAAAATATTTGTGTTGAAACAAATTGAAAAATCGGGCCTATGTCATATTCCCTTGAGCAAAACACGCCTGAGTTTGCATGTCTTCATACTTCTTTTTCTTCCCTTTTTCTTAAGGGTTGACTACATAAAACCGCCCACCCAAACTATGTAAGTCATTTGCAACTCCATAATAAAACTCCTAAAAATCTACATTTAAACCCCTCAGTTAGTTAGATCGTCAACCTAGGCATTAACTACCTACGTGGCTTTGAATGAGTGAATTTCTTCACTGATTTGGATTCCACCTGGAAAAAAATAATAATAATAAGAGTAATGTTATATTTATCACATTTTTATCCCACATTTCTATACCACATGATATTGCATATCCATATCATATGTCACATCAATTAAATCAACGAAGTGTATTTTAATAAAGAAAGTTTAATTAACAATTTTTTTAGGAAGCTGATTTTCCCACTCCCCTATTCACCACTACACTCCCTTTTGTGTTTTTAATACTTTGATCAATTTTGCCCTTTTTTGTTCTTTCTCTTCCTATTTTACCCTTGGTAATGTGGTAAGTGAGCACTTTGGAGAGGTGCTGATGTGTGAAAAAAAATAATTAAGAATTCTTTAAAAAAATATATTTTTAAACCAAAAAAATATACCCCAAACCCCGCCCACCCTCTGGTCTCTTATCTCCTACACATCCCTTCCGTCTTCTTTCTACCCCTTTCTGTTTCCCCTCTTTCTTTGACCAAAAAAACAAGCCCAGCAAGTCAACCGTCTATTGTTTTGTGCTTCGCGAAGGTCTAAAAAGCCAACATAGAAGCTCCAATGGCAAAGGCTCGAAGGACCTTTTCTATTTTCTTCCTCGCTTTTTGTTAGCTTTTCCTCCAAGAACATAACCAAAGAAGTATAAGGAACCCAATAACATCAATCATCTATTCTGGTAGCTATAGCTAGGATCTCTGTACCCTCTCTCTCTCCCTCATTTCTCTCTTTCCCCCTCTTTCTTCAACCACCAAATCTAAATTCAAGGGTTTTTAAAGAGTTTTGGGGTTTGAGTGTGGCTTGACTATTAGGCGTTTGGGGCAGCAAGGTCGTTTGCAGTGATGGGTGCGTTTGGGGCAGAGATGGCTATCGGTGGGTGGGTGGCTTGTGGGGTGAGGTGTGGGGGTGGGTTGAGATGGGAGGAGGAGGGGGTTGACGAAGAGAGGGGGTTGTTGCGGCTCAGGAAAATATTTTGTTTGTTTTTAAAATATTAATTTTAAAGAATTCATCCATCCATTAAAAATTGAGTTTAAGTAGGAAAATTAAGTATAAAGAAAAATAAATAATATAAAAATGAAGTAAAAAGAAATTAATGTAAGTAAGGGTAGAATAGGAAAAGGAAAGAACAAAAAAGAACAAAGTTTATTAAAAAATATTTAAAAACAAAAGGAAGTGTAAATAGAGAAAATGGGAGTGGGAAAATCAACTCCTTTTTTAAAATGTCAATAAATCATAAAAGAAAAGAAAATATTAAATAATTTTAATTGATGTGGATGTCCACCTCATTTGCCACATAAGGTGGTATGAGAATGTGATAAGAGTAGCATTATTCTTAATAATAAAGTCTTAAATTATTTAAGGTATTTAAAAACATAAAACAAATTAATAAAAACAGTTAACTATATAAAAAAATCCCTCAAATTATAGGGGTCATTTGCAAGTTCATACTATTTTGTAAGACATTTACAATTTCATATTCAAATTTCTGGAAAACCTATTAATTACTCTCCCTCCTGCAGAATTTCCTAATTTAGCACAAAAAAAACATTGTGTGTTGGATGTTATTTTTGTGTTATTTAGTTGTAATTGATTATGTTATTTTTTTTTTTTTTTTTTTTTTTTTTTGTTTGTTTTTGGGTGATTTTAAATTTAATGTTTGATTGATTTAGTTTGGGATGATACATAAAATTGGCCAATTGTGAATCTTTAAGCCCAAAAAGATAAAATTTTAGTTGGGCTCTGAAGCTTGAAATTCCAACAACGAAAGAACAGTGGGACCTAGTAGCCCGTCCAAACTGCGAAAATCGAAAATAAAAATCGAATCGGACCTCATCCAGTCCGATTTGGTTCAGTTTTGTTATCATTTTTCCATGAGAATCGAACTGTGCCCACTCCTATCTTCGCCTTCTCCGCCGTTCGCACGTCGTCCAATCTATCCCGCCACGCCCAGCTACCCGAATCCGAACCCAAGCCTGTCACCACCCTACTCTTAGCCAGCGAGAAGCCCGACTCCGAACTCGCCATTGCCGTCGAATGGGAACCCCGGACCGCATATTCAAAGCTTCCGGATTCCGGTGGCCCCACCATCTTGGCCAACGAAGAGTCGACCGAGTTCAAACACAGTGACTCCGTTTCGTTGACCGTCATCAGCTTTCGTCTCGTCAACCTCCACTTCCCTAGGCGCCCGTTCCAATTATCGTTCCGTCATGGCCACCCTTGCCGCCACGGCCGCTGCCATCAACGCTTGGAATCTCCCTCAAACCTCGCCCCTCTCTCTTTTCCACGCAGCCCCGATCCCAGCCCTAACCCCTTTCCCTCCTCCCCGACAAGACAAACCCTAGATCTCCCTCTTACCAGCCAGATCCATGTGTTGATATGTATGTGAAATTGAAATTAAATCAATATATGAAACCTGATACATGTCTTGATATTTTTGGGTTGGTACAATTGGGATAGAGTGGGTGGGTGGTTGTTTGGGCGGTCGGCGTGGTTGTTTAGGTTTGGTATTGGCTGGGTTGGTGGGTTGAGAAGGGAGAGAGGAACTTTGATTTTTTAATTTTTAATTAATAAATTTTAATTTGTTTAATGTAATTCTATTTTTTATTATTTAAAAAACTAAAGAATTGTTTATTATATATTTTGCCCACATGGAATCCACATCATCAAAATTGAGACTCACATTTGTCATATCAGCATTTAATATATTTACTAACGATTTGTATAACGGCAAGGTAATTTGTAGGTTTTGTATGAAGTTGTAAATGTCTCATAAAATGAGTATAAACTTGAAAATGACCCCATAATTTGGGGTTGGGGTTGGTTTATGTAGTTAACCATTTTCTTAACTTTAGATTCGAGCATGTTGACTTAGATAGAACGTTTATTAGACAAGTCAATTTGTTATATTTATGATTAACTATTTCTGTCATTTACTAAAAATATATAAAATAGTTCAATAATGATAAATTATGCAACCAAAATAAAAATCACAATTGGATCAACATAATGAAATATCAATACCTGTCAAATTGTTGGTTTCAAATGCAAGCAACGCTAACTGTGTTAAGTTCCCAATAGTTTGGGTATGCTTCTACTGAAATTGTTTTTCTCCAAAATAAGATTAAGAAGCTCTGTGCATTGCCATAATTTGGATGGAAGTGGACCATCAAACTGGTTGCGACCCAAATTCAAGGTTTGAAGACTAGGAAGATGTTGGCATATATTGTCTGGAAGGCCACCACACAAGCTGTTTCCATATAGAGTCAAAGTAATCAAAGAAGACATGTTGAAAACAGTCATAGGAACAGGGCCTTTTAGTGCATTGAATTGCACATAGAACTTTTCCACTTGATCTAAAAAGCCAATCTCTTTTGGAATTTCTGAAAAATCATTAAGATGTATGCACATTTATAAGTTAGACTCATGTTTTATGCACATATAATGCATTGCAACAAAAGCCGAGTCATATATAACTATATCACATCAAGGCAATGCGACAAATATATATACCATTGAAATGGTTGGAGTCAAGGTATATTTTCTTCAACGTTGTTAAGTTTCCTATTTCTTGGGTATTGCACCTGTTAAATATGCCAAACAAAGACTCAGAAGACATGTAAATAAATGAAATTAGAAAAAAACACCACACTACATAATTTATAGAAAAGCTATCAGTGGCTATTTTGGAGGGAAAAACAAACTCTCAACTAGTCTCTTTGTCACTTTCTAATTGGTTTATTAGTATGTTACAATTTTTTCACTTGAAGGTACAATATAGAATTTTTCTATAGTATTAATTGGAAGGGTGTTTTTTTATATTTATAAAATATCATATTATAATGGGCCTAAACATGAAAAAGGTCATAAATATTCCATATATATATATATTTCAATATTTACAATCTATCATCTATGTCTTTATCCCCCGATGTCCAACCCATTTTATCATTTGTATCCTACAACATGTAGTCACTAGTTCCATAAATGTAAGTTTTGTAAAAACCTTCTGAGTATATATATATATATATATATATATATATATATAACATTATAGACTCAACCATTCTTAAAATTAAAAACCAAATACATAATCTATTCAAGTGAGAGTTTTTTAGTATTGGATGACCTGCAAGTGATTAAAAGTTAGACTAATTTTCTAAAGAAAAAAAAACACATCAGGCTTATAGATTAATAACAAGATGTTGAAACATAATGATAGATCAACAATAGAGTCTAAATACCTTGTTGACACATACGTACCTAATAGTTTGTTAGAGCTTAGATTTATGTCTTGCAATGTAGACAAGTTGAAGATAGTCAAAGGTATGGTACCTAAAAATGATTGCCATACAAATCCAATCTTTGAAGTTTGGGGAAGGATCCAAACCATGATGGAATGGATCCCATAAAATTATTGAATCTTAAGCTAATAAACTTCAGGCGACGCAAATAAGACAATTCATGGGGCAAAGTACCGTAAAAGCTATTATTGTTGAAGCTTAGTGCAACAAGGAAGGAGAGATTGCCTAAGTGTGGTGGAATGGTGCCAGTGAAAACCATGTAGGAGAGATTCAACGATACTACTCTGAGGTGACGACGAGCACCACAAGTAACACCAACCCAGTTGCAAAGGGAGGTGGAGGTTGACCAGTTGACCAGGATGTTGTGAGGGTCACTAGTGATATGGGATCTCATAGCAAGAAGAGCAGACTGGTCGATGGTGATGTTGGTTTTTGCTGCACCTGTACCTATAGAACTGTACTGCAACAGCAACAACGCTATTGACAAGAGGAAACAACTTCTCTCTCTCCATGAGCACCGAAAACAGAGAAGTCCGAACTTGAAAGTGTTTTGCTTTTCTCTGTTTTTTTTCCTTTCCGATTGAAAACTTGAAATGATTGAATAATTTGTTGCACTGTCAATATATGAAGGCAGAACAAATTGCCAAAGAGTGGGGCACATGATTGCACCATGGGGGGGGAAGAAATTCGCTAGTAGCAAAATGTAACTGGTCCACGCCACGGCATCCTTTGGCCTCATCCCCACCACTCCAAATCTGTGACAGCGTGGCGTTTCGTTTATGCAACAACTTAGACTTGAATCTCGTAATAGAGGTAGAATGGACAATTGGGCATCTATGGACATTAAAAAGATGAATTAATGTACTTGTAAGACAGGTTTATTATTCTAATGTAACAGAATTGGCTTCTTCGCATCAAGATAAGGGATGTCACTCGACCATATATACATTATCCATCCTTATGCAATACAGATTGTTTTACTTCTCCACATCAGGACGATATTAATGTATCTTTCTCCTAGCCAGATTATATATATATATATATTTATTTGATAAAAGGATATGTCATTTAGTTCAACTTGATATGTTCACTAATTCGTAATCAAAGCGGAATTAAAATGAGGAGTTAAATTTCAATAATTACGGATTACTCCTGCTTTTATTTCACATAAAGAAATGAAAGTATAATAATTCCTGATTTTAGAGGAATTGACTCTTGGATGGGGAGATGGTATTCTAATCCTAGAGAACTAACCCATGAGTAATTTATCTTTTTATCCATTATACCCCTCACATATTTTTTGTTAAAATTTCTAATCCATCTACTTTAACTCAACAAAAATTTGCTTACAAAATAATTTATTTAGAATAAGGGCATTTTAGTAATCATATGAGTTTATTCAATTCCGATTTATGGGATTTAGTAAACAACTTATAAGGAATTAGTATCATTCCTATCCCAATTTGAGTTAGTTTAGTAAACAACTTCAATGGAATCCGGATTCTAACTCCTCCTTAATTCATTTTCTCCTCATCTAATTACGGATTAGTAAATATGTATTAACATTAAAAAAACACATTATGTAAAATCTTGAGAAAATACATTAACATTATATTTATGCTTTACCAATTATAAAAACTTGTTGAAGTTGAAAGAGTAAAAGTTTGCAAGAATTATAGAGTCAGTTTATAAACCTTGGTAAAAAAAATAAATAAATAGTCAGTTTATAAAGATAATGTCCGTGTGTAGTTAAATATTTTATTCGACAATGAAATAATGTTTTCACATGGATTTAATGTTTTGATATTAAATTTGACAAAAATTAAAATATGTTGATATTTTAACTTCCAACATCCTACCTTCTTTTCTGACCACTTATAAAGGATCATCCCATTTGCCGAAGGAAAAAGAAACTATATAATCATAGTTGCAACCTCACGCGACTTAGCTTAACTTTACCTCTCTCACCACCACCACCTCCAACGATGTCCAATATTTCATCAACTCCTCTCCCACTCGATAGGTATTTCTTTGCTTTTCTTTTCTTTGATTTGCTTTGCTTTGCTTTTTTTTCTTTTCTTTTCTTTTCTTCTCTTTTTCGCACATGAAGCTGCTCGTTTCGCAAGCTCATCGTTGGTGCATGTTTGAAGTTCAACCGTGGGTTGACCATTGATAAATCCTCTGTGCATGAAGCTTAATCTGATTTTAAAGATGGGAAATTCAGTGTTCTTCTTTTCCATTTGTTGAATCTGTATCTTGACCTTCGATTGTAGATTTTGGATAATATAATCTAGAAAGTATGTTCAAATTTTTTGTTGTTCTCTGCTGGCCTTAATCCTCCTCCTGTTTTGTGATGGCAGGAAATGTTCGCTTGCCCTTATCGCTCCTCTGGAAGCAATTCTATTCGACATTGATGGAACATTGTGTGATTCAGATCCCCTCCATTACTATGCTTTCCGTGAAATGCTTCAAGAGGTAGGCTTTAATGGAGGGATTCCTATCACTGAGGAATTCTACAGTGAACATTTTAGTGGAAAGAACAATGAGTATCTTTGCAGTACCGTCTTTCATGACTGGGATCTCCAAACAGCAAGGAAATTTTTGGACGACAAGGAAGCCATGTTCCGGAGGTAATTTAAAGAAATTATGGTATTTGCTGCTACATAATGGTTTGCTATATTTATTTATATATCAAGCATGTTGTGTTACCTGTCAATAGTCTAGTTTGATAGTTTGTTGGCACACATTTCCATACAGTGTTCAAGTTTTGCTTCTATTCCTGAACCTGACTTAATAAAGGACATATGCAGATTGGCTGCTGAACAATTAGAGCCTGTCAAGGGTCTGGATAAGTTGCGCAAGTGGATCGAAAATCAAGGCTTCAGAAGGGCTGCTGTAACAAATTCTCCAAGAGCTAGTGGCGAGCTAATGATATCATCTTTGGGGCTCTCGGATTTCTTTGAAATTCTTGTTATCGGAGTTGAATGCACACGGGCAAAACCATTTCCTGACCCTTACTTGACGGCTCTCGAAACACTTCAAGTGTCTCACAAGCATGCTTTCATCTTTGAGGTTTGTCTTTAAGGTTTGTGTGTTAAAATTAACGAATAACGATAAAGTTTTTTTTTGAGTAAATTTTGATTATTTTTTTTTTTTTTTTTTTTTTTTTTTTTTTTTTTTTTTTTTTTTTTTGGTCGGTGGGTAGTCTGATTTCGGGTGGATTCTTTTGTTTTTGTGAAAGCTGGAGTAGCAGCTGGAATGCCAGTAGTTGGTTTAGGCACAAGGAATCCCGAGACATGGCTGACTGATGCCGGAGCCACTTTCGTTATTAAAGATTTTGAGGACCCAAAATTGTGGGAAGCACTGGAAGAGTTGGAGAGGAAGGCAGAGGCAACAACAGTTGCAACTTGAAATGGCAGTAACATATTACATATAATACAGGAACAAAAGCTGTAAACTCAAATTGATGAGGCACCAATAGGCAGTATCTATCTATTTAATAAGCCTTATTATGCTTATGTTCTTGTACCTTATTATAATCTGTTCTTTTTGTTCCGACTTATCTCAAACGATTCTTCTTTCGATGACTTATGAATAAAAGCTTAATTGTTCCAAGAAAAAAAATTCAAATAACATCATCTCAAGATTGAGGTGATGACATTATTATGTTTAGATAAATGGTTTTTATTCTGTCATTCCAATTTATTATGTTTATTAACACACTTCGCTGCTTATTGGCACCAAGGCAATCAGGAATTCAAAGACTTCTAATCCTTGGTTCAAACAGATTTTAAATCCTTTTACCAAACGGAAAGATTTTAAATCCTTCTCCCAAACATATTTCAAAACCTTTTGAAGTTGATAAACTTTTTAGTCATATCATTGAATTCGTATTTCGTATACAACGTGAAGAACTCAATTAATAGTGTAGGTATTCAATCTAGCTTGCTTGCACTTGTTGCAAACAGAAGCACGTGAGCAGAAGTATTATAGTTATATATACGTACTGCGGTTTCCTTTTTACTCCGGTTCTTCAAGTCTCTCCAGGAATCCTATTCCCACAAGAACATGGATTCTCCACCTCCATATTGTATAAAACTGACTCTCCAACTCTAGACAAAACGCATTATTGATGAATATGGAGAGGAAGAGGAAGGTGTGCTTGTTTAACACGGTGGTCTCATCATCAGCAAAGATGAGCAAATCAGGCGGCAGTGGAGGAGCCACAACGAAGGACAATGCGGTGGTAAGCAGTGTGATTAATCCGTCGACTGGAATGCCTTATTCCCAGAGCTACTATGAGATCCTTGAGAAGAGGAAGACTTTGCCAGTTTGGCAACAGAAAGATGAGTTCTTGAAGGCTCTTAAGGCCAACCAATGTATAATTTTAGTTGGTGAGACTGGTAGCGGTAAAACTACTCAAATCCCTCAATTTGTTTTGGAAAGTGTTAATGCAGAAACTCCGGATGGTAAAAGGATGATGATTGCGTGCATGCAGCCACGTAGAGTTGCTGCAATGTCAGTATCTCGTCGTGTAGCTGAAGAGATGGATGTGAGGATAGGAGAAGAGGTTGGCTACACTATTCGTTTCGAAGACTGCAGCAGTGCCTCTAAAACATTGTTGAAGTATTTAACAGACGGTATGCTTTTAAGAGAGGCAATGGCAGATCCCCTGTTGGAAAGGTACAAGGTGATAATACTGGATGAGGCACACGAAAGAACGTTAGCAACAGATGTTCTTTTCGGGCTTCTCAAGAAGGTGTTGAGAAATAGGCCTGATTTGAAGTTGGTTGTGATGAGCGCTACTCTTGAGGCCGAAAAATTTCAGGGCTATTTCAGTGGTGCGCATTGTATGAAAGTTCCTGGCAGGCTACATACAGTGGAAATTCTTTACAGTGAGGAACCTGAAAAGAACTATGTGGAGGCAACAATTTGAACCGTTGTGCAGATTCATATGTTTGAGGGTCCAGGGGATGTACTTGTCTTTTTAACTGGGGAGGAAGAGATTGAAGATGTATGCTGCAAAATTGACAAAGAAATTGCAAAATTGGGTGATCAGTCTGGTCCTGTTAAAGTGTTGCCTCTGTACTCAACTCTGCCTCCAGCTGTGCAACAGAAAATATTTGAGCCAGTAAGTTCTGGGAGGAAGATTGTGGTGTCAACAAACATTGCTGAAACTTCTTTAACCATAGATGGAATCGTTTATGTTATCGACCCGGGATTTTCTAAACAGAAAGTTTATAGCCCTAGAGGGTGTGTTGAGTCATTGTTGGTGTCTCCAATTTCCAAGGCCAGTGCGTGTCAAAGGGCAGGGCGTGCTGGAAGGACTAGACCGGGGAAATGTTTCAGACTTTACACTGAGAAAAGTTTCCATAATCATCTTGAAGCACAAACATGTCCAGAGATATTGAGATCAAACCTTGCAAATACAGTGCTTACTTTGAAGAAACTAGGAATTGATGACTTGGTTCATTTTCATCTCATAGACCCTCCTGCTCCTGGGACATTGATGCGAGCACTAGAGGTTTTGTATTCTTTGGGAGCATTGGATGATGAGGGTAGTTTGACCAAGCTGGGGCAGATTATGAGCGAGTTGCCATTAGACCCTCAGATGTCAAAGATGCTCATCATGAGCCCCGGATTTCACTGCTCGAATGAAATCCTGTCAATCTGTTCAATGCTCTCGGTACCTAATTGTTTTCTTAGGCCTAGAGAGGCTCGAAAAGCTGCAGATGAAGCGAAAGCAAAGTTTGGTCTCATGGATGGAGATCACATAACGCTTCTTAATGTGTACCACGCCTACAAGAAGAACAATGAGGATCCTTTGTGGTGCTATCAGAACTTTGTCAATGAGAAGGCACTGAAGGCTGCAGACAATGTTCGGCAGCAGCTAGCCCGAATTATGACTCGGTTCAATCTCAAGTTATGCAGCACTGATTTTAAGAGTGAGGACTACTACATCAACATAAGAAAGGCCTTGCTAGCTGGATATTTCATGCAGGTGGCTCACCTGGAAAGCAACACAGGACACTACAGCACAGTGAAAGATAACCAAGTTGTACACTTGCATCCGTCCAGTTGCTTGGATCACAAGCCAGAGTGGATTGTTTACCACGAGTATGTCTGACCAGTAGGAATTTTATCCGGACAGTGACGAATATTTGCGGCAACTGGCTAGCTGAGATTATGATTGCACTAGAAAAATCAGGCAAAAAATTGGGTTATGGAGGGCTTACCTTAAAAGACAGGAAGCAGACTACTTGAAGATTAATGAACAAAATCCCCTTGACACTTTCTGTTTAACTTTCCATGTAATAAGAACCTTTAAGCATGTTTAAAATTGAACAAAAGAGGCTCCAACAAGCGTGCAATAATCCAAGTTGCTACCACTAACTCTAATTCTGTGTTTATGCATTGACAATGAACTCTCCATATCCTAATTTCACTAGGCTAAATTCACCACCCAAAAAAAAAACACCATCCTAATTTCAAAAGATTCACCGAAAAAATACTATTAACTCTTTGTAACATGCATTTTCATTCTATAATCTCAAATTCACAATTTGACTCCAAAAAAAATTCCATTTTCGAGCTTCACATAAAACTTAAAACTGATATCAATTACCACACAACTTTTGTTCAGATTTCACTTTCTTTGAAAACTGGAATTAATTACCAAACAGTTTTTAATTTTTAGTTGTAGAAAAATAAAAACTAAAAAATAAATGGTTATCAAACGGCTCCTAAGGTTTTTATTTATTTATTTATTTTTAAAAATAAAAAAAATTAAATTAAAAAAACTATCACATTTGGGATTGACATGCCAAAAATACCTACTATAAATTCAATCACGTGTAGGGACGGACCTAGGTGATGCACCTATAGCCCAGGTGAATTTTATTATTTTATTCTTATAGTTAGTATATAAGTTTTTTAGGGTTTAGTCTAGTTCAAAATTAACAATTTACCTATAAGGAAAATTTAACCCACCTTATTTTTAAAATTTTGTGTCCGTCGCTTATCATGTGTAAGAGCATCTCCAGAGCTAGACCCAAACCGGGGGAAAGGCCCCCCCGGCGAGCCCAAGCGCCCTCCAGCGCGAGAAAAGAAGCCCGGGCAAAAGTCGGGTCCCACCAGCCCAGGCAGGCCCAAGGGCAAGTTCCGCATGGGCTTCAGTCCGAGGGCTGTGACGTCAACGCTGACATCATAGCACGATAATTCAAATTTTTTTTTACTGTTGACGCTTGAATTTCACGTGTCAATAGTAAAAAAAATTTGATTTTCACTCGCTAATGTAAGCGTGACATCACTGCTGACAAGCCCTAATGGGAATATGCCACGTGGTGCTTCTTGGACGCTCCGATGCAATTTTTTCCAGAAATTTGACGGCCTTGATTTTTTTGGCTTAAAAAATTGCAAAAAAAATCGAAAAAAAATACCAAAAAATTATGGATTTTTTCCATAAAAAATACCTAACAATTTTATCACTTTCCACACGAAAATCTTCATACAAACTCATCTCCTTCCAATATTTTTCACTTTCCACACTAAATTTTCTACTACAAAATTTCATTTGTGCAAAAATACAAATGTCATCTTCCATTGAAGCCGGAGGGTCATGGACAAATGTTCGAAGAGGTCAAAATCTTGGCAACGAGGTAAAAAAAAATAAAATTTCCGTTTTATTCAATTTAATGTCTTTATATATATATATATATATATATATTTCTTGCATTTCCAATTTCTTTTTTTAATAGATTAGTCAAGGCAAAACAAAAAAGAGGAAAACCATTACACATAGCTCCTCAAGTGAACAATGCTCGTAGTCAGTTCCAATGGTGCGTTCCGTGTCAGAAATAATGGCACTATTACGTCCTCCGAAGGAAAATACTCCCCCACGTCGTGATCCAATGGAACCGCCTCCGCCAATGATGGAGTTGTCATTGTATTCCATTGTGTCAGACTATGAGGACCAAGAATATTTCAATTGTATGATGAGTGAGTAGGTATTTCAATTGTATGATGAGTGAGATGTGAATTTTATAATAAATATGGACATGTGGTAACTGAAAATTTTATCCGAAAATTTTATCAGAAAAATGTTATCTTAAATTTTAAGTGAAAATTTTATAATAAATAGTGACACGTGACAACCGAAAATATAATCTAAAAAGCTTATCAAAATTAATGGTTTAAAGTATAAAAAAAATAAGAAATAAAGTACAATGAATAGTATTTGCCTAGACTTAGCCTTCATGGGTGGAACCACAAATGGCAAGGCTGACACTATTCACATGAATAATGGCAGCCCTTGCTTGCCCTTGCCCAAGACTTAGCCCTTGTGGATGGAGATACTCTAAGTTTTGAATGATTTTAGTGGCATATCCTTGCTCTTTAAAAAAAAAATTATACAAGCCGTATTAAGGAGAAATTATAGAATAGTACGGACGTACCACGTCAGCGTATGATACTTTCATTCAAATTTTAACACGTGTCCATTTTTGAAAAGAAATTAATTTCTTTATTACAGCTGGACTTACTTAACTTTTATCTTTTAAAATAAAATTAGAAAAGTCTTAAAAAAGAAAATTAAAGAATTTTCCAACCCTCCGTCTCCAACTCAAACCTGCGCCACCCCTCTCCCTTGCTCTTCCTGTCAAATTCCTAGGGTGGCGTCTGTAGCACATTTCAGAGTATGCTTCAACTCAATCCACATCGGTTGTGCCTTCCATTGATTTTGTGTTGCAGAGTGAGAGTGTACTAGAGAGTGTTTGTAGCAAATTCAATGGTGCAAGTGAACAAAGATGTGTTGTGTTTGGGATTTGTGGATGCTAGGCTTTGCCCAAGTAACCCAAAGTGCTGCCGTACTATTCTATAATTTCTTTGTATTAAGAGAGGAGAGAATTGAATGTACTACTTTGGATGTGAGGTCAATATTATAAATAATTTTTTAATAAGAAAATAATACATTTATGAGAAAAGTCGATAACTCTCTCAAAACAATAAAATTATAAATAAATAAAAAATTAAGAGAAGGGAAACACTCGATAAACCCCTAAAACCTCGCTTACATGGCCATTCTTTTGCTCTACCAGAGCTAAAACAAATTCTTCAGAAGCTGCTGGACTGAGGAGAGAGGAGGATGAGCAGGGCTTGTAGTCTCTTCCAGTTGTGCCAGAATCCAAACAGATTACTACTCAGAAGCTCTAAATTTTCCAAAGGTGCCCATCATTCTCTCCTTATCTTCTCTCTCACTTTCCTATCGTCAAAACAAGAAAAATCCAACCATTTTTTATGTGTATAAACTCTACTGTATGTGTGCCTTGCTTTAAACTCTCTGTCACTTTCTTTCTTGATTTATGCTGTTAATTATTCATTATCTACCACTGTATCTGTTGCCATTGTTATTTTGAAATTCACGAGCTCATTTCCATTGCAATCTCAAGCAATTCTTCAAAACTCTTTGTTTTCCACCAGTCTGGGCCCGACCCTGAACACTATTTTAGCTTTTTATGAAACCATCCACGTCTGGTAGCTTCAAGGTTGAGGAAATCATAGAAATTTGCGTTTCATAAAATTGAAACATCTGTCTTTTAATTGTTGGGGTTCTCTGTTAAGTTTATTTGTTTCTCCCCTTTTCAATATCCGTTGTGCTCCTGACTATTTTGAGAAATTAAATGTCTTTTGGTTTGGTGCGTGATTACCATATTCATTTTAAACTTAAATGACTTGTACCAATTACAAATATTTATTTACCCTCCTAATGCAGGTCCGTACTTGATACCCAGTGCCAGAATTTATCCAGTCCTGTGCTTCTCTAAGGAAATACAAACTTCCGCATATGAAGTTGTCAAGGGAAGCTATGTACCCACAGCCTTGGTTAAACCAGAAAGCAAACCGAAGGTATTTCTCTTTGGTATGTGTATTTATTTTGGTCTCAAGGGCATGTTTAATAGCAAGATGAGGATATAGTGAATAGCAAATGAAGCAAAGCAAGAATTGATATGAAATAAAAACTTCGTCCTAAAAAGGAAAAAAGGAAGCAGATGTATTATCATTACTTTCGTAGTTTAACGGAAATATTTAACAAGAGAATTGAGTCATTAAATAGTGTTACTGTGTTCATATAAGTAACTGTATATGTCTTTACTGTTATGTGTGAATTCCATCCCTCATTATTTCTTTACTACCATTTTCTTGTTGGATGACAAAAAGTGTGAGAGGTTGGAGTGACCTCATGAATAAGTATCAGGGCATGGTGAAATCTTATGTGAGATGCAGGATTCAAGCATCAAATGACACTGCAATAAGGGTATGCCCTTCTGGAGCAGTCAGAGAGGGATATGGGTTTTGATCAAGAACCATTCTGAACTATGCCTTTGACGTTTGGGATTTAGAAGTTGCGGGAATATAGGGAATGGAGTTATTGGAGTGAAAGAATGGCTGAATTTCCTGCTTCTTTAGTTTGTATTTTGGATTCTGATCTATGGGGTCAATCTCATCATAGAGCAGTAGTTATTTAGTTTGTTTGTTTTCTTTGGACTTAGCCTGCCTTTGCACACTGGTTGACTTTCCAAGGTGTGCATCTCATGAGGTAGGTTGCAGGAATATTAAGGACGATTTCGTTATAAGTAAATAATCGATGTAGTTGACAAATTCACAGTGTTTGGTCTGCTAACAACAAGAGTATTATGTACCAGGTAAACAGACATATAGGAGGCATGCATTAAACAGTTTAGTGCCTGCATAGATTTTGTGAGTTGGGGGTGTTTAGCTCACTAAGTCATCAAGGTTGAAATATCCATGTTTGATTAAATTTTAGAACGTAACTACAGTTGTATGTGCTAAGAAGTTTGATTGTGATTATTTGGTGCGTTCATATGGCATTATACCTCAGTTAAAGTGACCTTGACAACCTTAGCACGTTTTAAGATCTGCATGCCATTTATGTTAGTGGATTGTTATTGTTTGGGTTACTTTGATATTCTAGTGTTTAAGCAAGGGCATTGTTCTCTCATGTTTAAATAAGTTTCACACATGTACCAATTTTTTTTCCCTTCATTGGTGTAATTTTGTTTTCTGATCCATACCTTTGTGCAATCTTTTGTCATTAAGATTTCTTGAGACTAAAGTATTGGAAAAAGTAATGATGGCTACCATGGTCCCAATGTTGTAATTGTAGGACAAATCACCAGAAAATCTTGAAGGAGTTGGTGCATTCCAAAAGCTACCCATGGTGATGCCATCTGTTGACATTCTGTATTCTGCACTAAGAAAGGCTAAGAGGATTTCACCAACAAAGGGTATTTGTTATGGGCATGTGTTTTAGATCAAAATTGACAGAACAACATTAGATTCAAGTCGGATGGAACTTGGTTTATAGGACCTGCTGCTAGCCCTGATTTTTAATTTCTTTATATTGCAGGTATTGCCAATATTGCAAAGCGGGAAAGAAATAGAGGTGCAAAGCAACTTGATGCATTGATGAAAGTTTGTTCTCAACTTTAGTTTGTCATTTTATTATATTTTCTATTGTGATGTTTTTATATGATTCAATGATGACTGACTAGCTTTCTTTTCCATCTTCAGGAATTAGCAGTACCCTTGAGAACTTATTCAGAGAATTTTCCAAATAAAAAGTATCTTCACCCTTATGAGCGATCTCTTATTGAATTAACTCTTGGGGATGGAAATTATGAAGAGGTATATCCTGAGAAAATTGTGGCCAATTTCCACTCAGAATAACTTGAGGATGTTAGTATAATAAAAAATTGATTGAAATAATTTTGTTCTGTAGTAAAAATATGAGTTTTATTGGTATTTTCATGTTTCCTTTTACACTAACAGAATGCAGACAGGTATAATCTTTTAGACCCTTTTCAACTTATCGTACTTCAACTTTTTAATTTGATAATTACAGGTGTTGGGAAAGGTGGATTCTCTGAGGAAGAAGGTTGTGTCTGTTGGAAAGGAACATGCATCTCTTTGTGCTAAGGTAGAAGTCTTGGTTTTTTAAGCTTTATGATGCAATACCTGCTTCAAGCTTCTTATCCGCTTTTCATTTATTAGCTTTTTGGGGATTACTTGCATCTTCTGTTACCAGAAACACAAACACTGCATTCTATGATTACTTTATGAATTTTACTCTTCCATGTTTAATTTATATCTATAATACACTCTTGAAGGTTCCTATCTGAAAAAAATAAAAATAAAAATAAACTCGGAAGCTCCTATTGAAGAAAAAAAAGCTTGGAATTATTTTTTTTATTGATTTTGAAGACGAAAGATTTTAACAAACTCTCATATACACTGTGGCAGTCATTGTCGAAGAAAGAAGCAGAGGAAAGGCTAACTGAGGTTATTTCTTATCTTTAGCCAGAAAGAAACCTCCATTCTATCTGTGTAGATTTTTACTCTCTTAACTGTATCTACAGGGCATAAAGAAAGTTGAAGAGACATTTAATCGTGGAGGAAAACATGTCGATGATTTGTTACACATAGCCAAGGTACTTTGCTTTCTGAAATTGGAGTTCTATAGTGGCTTTTGTTTTTCTTTATTGATTCTTTTCATTCAATTTTAAGGAATGCATGCCATGTATCATGTATTATGATGGTTTAGTAACTGTTTAGATTTTTCAACGCACTTTTGATGTACGTGCATGTGTGTCTGTGAACCTGGTCTTACACCTTACACCAATAGAGTTGAATATTCTATGAAAACTTAGGTCAGTCAAATATGTTTCATTCAATTTACTTTATTTTTAGACACTGGAGGAAAATTTTGTTTAAAGTTTTTTTGGCCAACAAGATGTTTTAATATATTATTTTTAATTCATGAACTTTTGTATCATATTTCAGTTGTCTAAATTTTCATACTATTTGGCTGCTTCTTACTTTTTCAGTCAGTATAACCTATAAACAACTTTCCTATGGATCCATGCCTTGTTTAGGAGTGCACTTGGGGACCTATAATGGTTGTTTTTTACAACTCTGATTTGTTGAGTGATTGAGTTTTTTGTTTTGTTTCGGTAAGGCCATCTCTTTAAACTAGTTATATTTGCAGACTCTGCGAGCAATGCCGGTAGTTGATCTAGAATCACCGACACTTTGTCTTGTCGGAGCACCGAATGTCGGGAAGTCATCTTTGGTCCGCATACTCTCCACAGGGAAGCCTGAGGTGTGCACAATTTCAATTTTCAATGACAAAGATGATATCTTGTTTTGTATATGTGGTTGGCTAATAGATAGTCCATTCTTGAATGGGTTGAGCATATGTTGCTGTATGAAGCATGAAAGACTTGTTTTCTTTCTTTTGATTGTTTGTAGGTTTGCAACTACCCTTTTACAACAAGAGGAATTCTGATGGGTCACATTATTTCAAACCATCAAACTTTTCAGGTGGCTCAATTTCTCTAATATTTAGAGTCGAATATATATATTTTATTTTTTATTTTCAATCTTAATTTTGTTATATGTATAAACTGAGTGCAGGTGACAGACACTCCTGGGCTGCTCAAGAGATGTGATGGTAAGTGACTGGCATTTATTGGTTTTAATTATGTCATTTTGAGGGATGCTTTCTTGGACTACAGTGCTTTGCATAAAAAATTTCATCTTTTTTTTCTTTGGTGTTTCAGAGGACAGAAATAATCTGGAAAAATTGACGCTTGCTGTGCTCTCGCATCTGCCAACGGCAATACTTTATGTCCATGACCTCTCTGGACAATGTGGAACCTCACCTTCTGATCAGGTTTTTTTTTCCTTTTAAAAAAAAAAAAAAAAAAAAAAAAAAAAAAAAAAAAAAAATCTTAAGAAGTAGTATAGTAAAAACTCAAAAAAGAAAAGTAGTATTGCAGCGTTCGCATACCGGATACGCATACGGGTTCGATACCCTAAACCCTAGTCGATATGCACAGGGTATGGCTCGGTATACGGCTGACAAAGAAGAAGAAGAAGACACGGGAGAGAAGAAGGCGATGCAGAAATGAAGACAACATATATATATATATATATATATATAGAGAGAGAGAGAGAGAGAGAGAGAGAGAGAGAGATGGGAACTGGGAGCGAGATGAGGACGAGGGAGTAATTTCAGTTACACGGTACCATTTTAGGTGGTGGGTTTAAAAGGATGCGGCCCATCTGCTGCTTTTTTAAGAATTGAAAACGACTCAAGGACTGCTTGTTATCAGATGCAGCCCCACCTAAATGATATCTCTAATATTACCGATTACAAATAAATTTCAGATTAAATATTTACCAAAAAAATGCTAAATTAAATTATTACCATATGAAATACTAAATTAAATATGACCATACACAACAGTGCCAAGTAAAAAGAATAATATTATTTTAATTGCCGTATCCTTATTGTGCCTGTATTCTAGTTTTTTACTGTTGCTGTGTTGCACTGTATTGTAGTGCTGTATCCATTCCTGTATCTGTGCTTGAGAGCTGAGACAATTTCAGTGAAATTGGGTTGAATTAATTAAAATGGAAGTGATTTTTACAGCTCACAACACATTTAAGTGATGGTTGAGAGACAAATCACTATAGTTTCTTTCTTTGTAATCCACCTCTATAGAAAATGCTCCCCTTCACTATTCTTCTGTTTGTTCTTTCTTTCTCACATATATTAAATTCATGATTTTTCTATGACGGCTTGCAGTTTGTCATATACAAAGAAATAAAGGAGAGGTTTAGCGAGCATCTGTGGCTTGATGTTGTGTCCAAATGTGATCTGTTGCAAAAGTCTCCAGTGCTATTTGCTACTGATAAGGGTGATGATTCTAATCTTGAGCTGGAAAGGTACCGGAAATTGGGTCCCGATGGAGCTCTTCATGTGTCAGTGACAAATGAAGTAGGGCTCACTGAGGTAATCTTTATATCATAATGTTACTCTCTGATATAGTGTTGAACACGGAAGCCTTGAGCTTTGATGTTTTGAACTTTACAAAAAGGGGCACATTGCTACAAGGCACATTTGTGTTTTCTATTAGTTGTGCTCATTTTTATGTAAACACACTCCTAGGCCTGGCCTTCTAAAACTAAAATTATCATCTCTTGCGTTCTATGATAATTGTTCTCTGTTTGAGTGATGAACTTGTTGCTTGTAGTTTCTTAACAAATTAAATAGGAAAGAAAGTATTTTCTTGTAAACTTACAATTCAGACATCAACTTTTTGCACTGCAGTTGAAGAGTAGAGTGCATGAGATGTTGAACTCCCAGATGACAAGGATCCAAGTTCAAGAAAAGCTAGAAGTTCTTACTTGAGAGAGCAATCTCTGAAATATAAACAATATCGGTTTCCGCTTCTGATGAAATGAAAATCAAATTACAAATTTGATCATCCGGAGGATGGTTTCCGCCTCTGGTGAAATGACAATCAATTTACAAATTTTTTCATCCCCAAGAAGGGAAGCCAATTGTGAGTTTGGCTTCCGGACTAGCAGAAGATCTGCAGCATGCAAGTGCTTGTCTATAAAATACACACTCCTGACTTTTCAGATTGTTTGGTCTACTTGTGATCGTCAGTCTCTACTTAGGTACAGAGAAGCTGAGTTAAATGCATTGCAAATTGTATTACCTTTGCTAATTGGAAAAGAGCTGTACTAAATCACAGTCGTTCACATTTGCTTGGACAACTATGAACCATTTAAAGATATATGGAATAGGTTCGGCTGTTTTGTCCAGTTAAATTTTTAGCTCCCTGTTGATGATTATATGTATAATTTTAGATTACTTAACGAGCTCGTCCAGGTGTATTTTTCTTTCCCGCCATGGAGTCCCTTTTGCTCAACCAAGTCACCAATTCATTTCAAAACTCAATACCATTCTTGGGAAAATATAAAAAAGCTATGTACAAGTTTCCAATGCCCTAAGGGTTCTTGTGTTATTTGAACATTGAACGGTTGATTCTGTCGATACTGATATCGGATATAGGTTCTATAGGCTGATCATCACCCCCCATTGGAGCAGAGCTCAAAGGATCTCTACTGAATTCATCTGCAGAAGACAATGGAAGTTTATGCAAAACTTATCAAAACAATGCACTTGAAGCCTGAACAAGACATCCAAAACTTTCATCAAAAAGGAGGTAATCAACTCTCACCATATACAGTATATAAGGAAGATGGGGGAGGAGTCGACATGAAGTTGACGCCACAATAAAATCCCAAAGCTAATACCACTGTCATCATAGCATATGCTGGCACTGCCAATGCCCAATACCTGAAAATAATAACACAAATTCAAAGACCAACTGAAAGTGTTCAAGGCCTTGCCTTGCAAACTAGAGCTCTCAAGTTCGAATCTCCATGACATCATAATAGTGTGCGTGTGAGAACCACCGGGCCTCTCCTTCTCCCTTATAGTTTAGACTATCGCTTGATCTTCAAAAACAAAAAGTGTTCAAGGACAAAACAACATTACCACATAGAAATCACCACCAGAGCAATTGTCTTTTCTTTTCCCTTTTTTCACTACCATAGCTGATTTGGTTAGAACTCTCTCCACAAACTCTTCCATTAAGAAACACTGACCAAACTTTTTCTTTCCCAATCAAAGTAACCTTATTTTGATTTAAACATTAAGTTCCCCTAGCTATGACAAAACATTATCAAAGTTCCAAATGAACAAAATCTTTGAAAAAACACTTGCAAACACATGAGAGAAACCAAGCTGACCTGCTGGGATAGTAAAATATCCCAATGGAATGTAGCCAAGACTCTGGAACATATGCCCACACCAAGAAAATAACTGCTCACAGAAAAATACCAAAGTAAATATTAAAAGAAAATTTTGTTTTCTAAAATCTCTCAAGGAAGGAGGATGGTAGATGAAATAGACCTGTAGCCACAACAGTTGTGATGGAACCAACAAAGCCATAAACTTCAGAAGGTTTGGGGCCATGAAACCCAGAAGCCTTATCATCTGAATCCACAAAAGACACTGTTGCCCTCCTCTTCTTTGATACACTCAGGATTCTTCTGGGACTGCAAACAGAATAAGAATCTTCCATGCTTTCTTTTGGAAATCCAGCACAACCCAAAAAATCTATAAATTACAAGAAAAAAAAGATTTTATCCATCTTAGTTCATCAAGGAGTTGAGTCATTTTCTCCTATGTTACTGGTTGAAATTCTGTAAGTGCATAATTGAGATAAGAATAAAAAGAGAAAAGAATGTGTCTTCCTCTAATTGAAACAGAGAAAAGAGAAGAGAAAAACATCATAAATTTAGGATACACAAACAGAAAGAGAGAATTAGAATATGGGAAATGAATTGTGAAATTAATGCAACAAATTGCTAATCAGATTTTTGTTAATGGGAGTGAGAGAGAGTACCTGGAATCGGCAAAATGCGAAGCCAAAACGCAGGACAGGGAAGCGTTTTGTCGTGGCTGTTGTGCTCTGGTTGAACCCGGATTGAAGCCGAAGGTGGTGTGCGTTTGTGTGTGTGTCGCCGTTGATCCAAGAATACCTCTGAGTAAATGCAATTTTCTGGATATTGGGCCTGAATAAAAATATCATGGGCTTGGGACTCATGAGCCTCAAGTAATTTTGAGTTAATCCTGATCTGACACACTAGTCTTCAGTAATTTTGAATTAACCCTGCAATCGAAATTCTATTATGAATTCGCCTTCCTTTGTTATTGTTTGTATCAAAAAAGAAAAAAAGAAAAAAAGAGAGTCTGAACCTTAGCAAAGAACAAGAAGACAAACTAAGAAAGTCCACAGATCCTCCCCAAACAATATAATGTTAATTCATTCAACTCTCTATTTATATTTTCGATGTTCATGTTGTACTTTAAACTAAGGCCTCGTTTGGTGGCCCGGCTTGAATTGGATTGTAATTGAGTGCAAATCAGTCCTTATGAGCCTCACCCCTCCAGGTGAGACTTATAAGACATAATATGTTAGATTGTTATCCATTTTAATAAGTTCAGTCCCAACACATCAAACAACGACCATTACTCGTCCATTTTAATTGAAATAGTCTAGTTCAATCCCACCCACCAAACGTAAAGCACATTCTTTCTTATCTCCCCCATTGAATTGTCCTTGTAATATACATTCTAAATACTTGATAAACTATTTTGATGAAGTGATATTTCTTTTCCTAAGTTTGAAAGCAACCTGAATTTTGAATTCCCCCTTTGTATTAATCTGAAAAATAAAACTGAACCTTTCAGAAAGATATCATGATCACGGTATCAGCCTTATAAATACTAGGATACACAAACATAAATACTTACCAATTTGACATACTTTTTAGACAAGTAAAATAAAGTACTTTTGCTTGTGAATCTTACAATCAAAGCCATTAGCAAAACTTTCCTATATAAACAAGTACGGAATCACGCTTCTTTTCAATCTCTCAGACGTGCCTCCTCCATTGTTTATACTCAAATACCTCAAAATTTGATTGCAGAGTTTGTAGTAACTAGTACTATCCATGGCAGGAGCCATTGACGAATGGACAAGGGAAGAAAATAAAGCCTTCGAGATTGCCATAGCCACCTACAATATTGAATGCATCGAAAAAGGGGAGTGGGAGAAAGTTTCTTTATCTGTTCCTGGAAAATCTGTTGATCAAATAAAACTACACTTTATGCACCTATTGATGGATGTGGAGGCCATCGATTCTGACCAAGGACCACTTCCTGATTACAAGTATGATGAAGACGAGAACGATGGTGACGATGGAAACAATGGTGATCGTGGTGATACCAAAGAGAAAGAGATGTCGATGGTGCCTTGACGACAATTAGATGAGAATTTTGCAGTAACCCTAAGGATTTGTAATTTTGATCAACTTTACTATAGTACAATTGTTTTCTCCATGGGGTTGAAGTACTCTCTCTCTTTTTTTTTTTTTTTTTTTTTTTTTTTTTTTTCTCTATTAATAATTATGTTCCAATAGCAGAATATGTATTACTAACCTTTTCACCATTCACATTTACATGCAACTAAAATACAAAAGACATTGTTAAGTATAATGTTTGAGCAAAGAATTCTAGTGAGGGCCTTATATATGGCCCTTAGTTGAGGTTTTATTTCTTAACTGTTTGATCAAATTGGTTAGCCGTTAAATCAAATTAGTTAGCCTAATCCAATAATTAAGAGATAGGATTTTACCTAATGGTCATATATAAGGCCCTTACTGTAGAATGACCTCTTCTCCCTTCTATTTTGGTCAACAATTTGTTCCTCCATGCATCTGATCCATCTTGTCCAATCTAATTTTGGTCCAGCCTGAACATCTATCAATTGAGAACTATTGGGTCTAGTGGGCTCGGCCCAGAACTCGGGTTGGGTCAATCTTTACAATACTCAATTCCAAATAAAATACTCTTTATATCGTAATTAAAAAATGAAATCAAATCCCCCAGTTCAAAATTTTTTTTTTATTTTAAATAAAAAAAAAAAAAAAAAAAAAAAAAAAAAAAAAAAAAAAAAAAAAAAAAAAAAAAAATATATATATACAGTCCTCTTTTATTGAGGGATCTCTCAAATAATTTTATTTGAGAGACGCCCTTTAGGGTACCCTACAATTTTTTTTTCAATGATCCAAACCATCTATTTTTTAGGTCTTCATTCATAGATCATCCTTACAAAAAATTAGACAAATCGGAAACCGTTTCGACATCCAATTGTGTCCTATAAAATCAATGAACACGGTGCTTCAAGAAAGTACTAAAATTTCAATAACTCAATTGAATGGTCAAATGATATCGGATTCAAGTTATTTTTTGTAGAGATGATCTTTGAATGTGTATCTACAAAATAGACAGTTTGAATTAGTGAAATACAATTCGGAATGGGCCCTACAAGGGGTGTCTCTCAAATAAGCTTATTTGAGGGATTCCTCAATGGAAGCTCTCTGTATATATATACAGCCTTTTTGTAGTACACCATTGGTTGCTGAATCATCGGCATCATTACTGTTCAGATTTCATAAAGACCATCTTTGCAGCACCGTTGTTGAATAGTTCTTTATATAAGACAGTTTAGACCATATCAAAGTTGCAAAATAAATAAATATTTAATTTGATTATTTTTATTCAACAAACAAATTAAGTTGCAAAATAAATGAGTTCCTCATTTGAATCTCATACGAAACAGATAGTGTAAAAAACATGATTACCATTGTTTATACTACTCATTTGTGACTAATTCAAACAACTCATCTGTAAATCATCTCATTAGAAGAAGCTTAGCCATAATCAGTCGTTTCGAAATGTGTTGTCAACTCTTAATTTAAAGGGAGAATAATCATTGAGAATTTAAAAAATATATATGGAATTAATTAATCAAAAGGGCCAGTCCATAGCGGCCATAAACTGGTTCAATATATTTTGGAATCTTGTATGTATATTGATTCAAGTGAGATAAATAAATAAATAAAGTTTGAGAATATTTATGGGTAGAATAAAATTGTGTTCATCACTTGTGCCTATGAATCATGCATAATCCATCTTACCTAGCACTTAATGACAAAATACTTCAGAATTTAAGCCAGGTAGTTACCCAAATTGCAATCTGTACTTTATAAACAGAAGTCTTTTTTTATGGTTGATATCAACAGATGTCCTCAGTTTTGTTGTTATACTTCATTTTATAACTCACTACTTTATCATAAGCAATTATAATATGGGAGGAGAATAACTTGTTAAATTTGAGGACATATTAGATTAGAATAAGGGGGCTCGAGAATAGTGATGCCTTAGTGTTCGGATTCAATATAACACATTGGAAAAATAGCATATTTTAGGATGGTTTAAGAGGTCTTGGGCAAGCTTCCATATCCAACACTCTTGTTGATCCTCTCTATCAATATTGTTCTGCAGTGGTGGATTCATGAATTTTTCAAGAAATATGTAATATTTAAAAGGCTAAAATATCATTAAAAAATTTAGACAACCAAATCCCCTTATAATTTAATCAATATTATTATCATTCATAATTTACCAAAATTCATATCAAATCATCAATTAATCTAACAAAAATTAGTATAACTTAATCTAATTAAAATGCATATCAAATTATCAATTAAATAAAGAAATCAAAATGCATACCTCGAGTCATGTGTCACACAGCCACTTCGAGTTTGCTACTAATAATACAAATACAAAGGGAGCTAAATGAGAAACAAATAATAACAAATATATTATTAAAAAAATAAAAGAAAAAATTAACAAATATATTATAAAAGGAAAAAGGAAAAAAAAACGAAAAAGGAGTGATGCATTGGCGTGTAGTGGTGGACATTCAAACCAGAAAACCAGAAAATTGAGCCGAATTGGGCAAAAAAATCGGGTTGACAAAAAATTGGACCGAGTTGACTAAAAACCAGACCGTACCAGTTTGGTTCGATTCTTGTAGCGAAAAAATGGACTGGACTTTACCATCTGTGTATTTTTAATTTTTTTAATAAAATATTTAACCCCAATGCTAAATTTCTAAACCCATAACTAATCTTTCCCCAAGCCCACATCTAAATCACCTCTCTTTTCTATGCTCAATCAACTTCCTTTGCATAAAATTAGGTCATTTGTGGGTTTTGTACAAATTTTTTTTATTCCGATCCAAAAAATCGAAAAAACCGAAAATTGAACCGAATTATGGGCAAACAGAAATGAATAATTTTTTTTATAAAAATTTGGACCGACCTTGACCGGATGAATAGTACTGGTTTCGATTCCGATTTGGAGTGGGAACCAAATCGTGCCCACCCCTACTGGTGTGAGAGCCTCTTCACCTTGGATTAGGTCTGCACTACAGCAAGGAAGAGAAGAGGCTATTCAAGTTTTAAGGATTTGGGATTGGGTCTTCAATTAATTTATATTGTTGTTGATATCTTGCAAGAGGACTCCTTCCCTTCCGTTGTATACATTGATTGCAGCAAATTTTTATTTTTTTTGCCCTTGACCAAGACGTCGTTTTAACCATGAGTTTTTTTTATTTTATAATTATAAATAAATAAATAATTTGGTGATACGCCTGTGCGCAGCATAGAAACGCAAAATAGAAGCTGCATTGCGACATTTCCACGAACATGGGCAGCTCCAAGGCAGACCATAGAAGCAAACTTTGCCACCTCCAACATATTTTCTCGCAAGGGGAGGTGCAAATGCACCTCCTTGTGCCTCTGTAAGTTTGCCATTGCTACTATGGTGGTAGCTATTTCCGTGATTTGAGGCGACTTCACTCATCTACCTAGAGCTCTTAAACCATCTTAAGATATGTAATTTTTCCAATGTGGGATCTTGAGTTCTAACACTTAGAGTAAGCATAATCACTCGTCCGATGGTCTTTTTAAAAGGCTTGAGAATGAGACTTTATAGGCTTGATCGATAAATACCGCACACATTATACTTTTCCCTTCTATTGAGGGATCTCTCAAATAATTTTATTTGAGGGACGCCCTTTAGCATACCCTACTAATTTTTTTTATTCCAACAATCCAAACCATCTATGTTTTAAGTCTTCATTCATAAATCATCTTTACAAAAAATTAGACAAATCAAAAACCATTTAGACATCTAATTGTGTCCTTGAAAATCAACGAACACGGTGCTTCAAGAAAGTACTAAAATTTCAATAATTTAATTGAGTAGTCAAATGATATCATATTTAAGTGATTTTTTTTACAGAGATAATGAACCCGACAAAAATATCCCTCAACTGAAGCTCTCTCTCTATATATACACACACTATTAGCCATTTCTCATGACCATGTTTATCTTTTTGTTTTGACTGATGACATTGTTTATCTTTTCTGAATTGGCTATGTAACTAATTGGTTATTATCATTAATGAGAGGAAACTAAAAAACTTTGATATCTTCAGCTTCCTATGATTAAAATAATATTTTTCAGAATGTCAGCTTTTAAAGAAGCATGAGTAGTTGACCCGAAGAAACAATTGACCTAAAATAAGCATGATTAAAATTCAACTTAATTAGCGGTTTTATATACCATGGACTGCTCTTCGTCCATCAAAGGGTTGCTTGAGCATATTGTAGATTTGATTACTTTCGTCTATTTAGAGCATTTTCACTCATTTGTCATGACAAAAAATAAGGAGAGGCAAAGATTGTTACTATTCACATGAATAGTGTATGCCTAGTAATTTTTTTGTTGGTTTTCCTCCATTACCATAAAACCTAAGTGCAATCACTATTCACATGAGATATGAGGAAAAGAGTTTGTATAGAGTTTTGGTGTAGGAAGTGAAGAATATGGCTAGGTATTTATTAAAAATATTCTGAAATTTTGGGTTTTTTTTTCTTTTTTCTTTCAATTTTTTTAATATTTAAATTGGCTTGTTGACGTCAGTATTAGGTCAACTTGCCCTGGCAGCAGCCCATGCAAATCTTGCCTTTGGACTTGCCTAGGTTGGTGGAGCCCAGCTCTTGCCCTAACAAGACTTGGGCGCTAGAAACACATTTGGGGGCCTGGGAGGCCTCTTACGAGGGCTGGGGCCTCCCGGTTGAAATGCTCTTATAAACCAAAACATGACCATAAAATAAACATAACAAAACAAAACAAAATAAAAACATTGCAAACGAGTAAAAATGATAGTGAGGTGACTATTTGGGCATATGTGAGAGACTTGTTTATGTAGTGTCTTGAAAGGAAATTCGATTTCGACTTAGATAGTGTAACAATGTGGCTCATGCTCTTCGATGTTTTGCTTTACACAAATAATTTCCTTTTTAATTGATTAGAAGAAGGCCCAAGGGCTAATAAATTGTAT